GATCGCTCCATTGTTGTCACACAACAACGGGATGGGTGATGTACTGGACGAAACCACTTCTAATTCGTGAACGAACTTCTTCATCCACACGGCTTCCTTAGCAGTTTCACTTGCGGCAATGTACTCGGCTTCGGTTGTGGAGCCAGTCGTGGACCCCTGTTTGCTATTTTCCAGCAAACAACACACGATCCTATCATGAAAACATACCCAAACATAAACTTTCTATCATCTGGATCCGATTAGAAATCGACATCAGTATACCCCAGAATTTGTAGTGAACTACCATCCAATACCAGACAAAACTCTTTTGTCCTTCGAAGGTATTTGAGTATGTTCTTCACAGCAGTCCAATGCTCCTGCCCTGGGTTGGCCTGGAACCTGCTTATGACACTCACCGCCTGAGCAATGTCAAGGCGAGTGCACAACATGGCATACATGATGCTCCCTATGACTAAGGCATAGGGAACGATTTTCATGCCCCCAATCTCCTTAAAAGTCTTGAGAGACAACTTCTTGGAGAGATTGACTCCGTGCCTGAAAGGAACATTTCTTTTCTTGGAGTTCTCCATGCTGTACCTTTTGACTAATTTGTCAATGTAAGCAGCCTGGGATAATCCAATGATCCGCTTCGATCTATCTCTATAGAGTCGAAGACCTAGTATATAGGAAGCTTCTCCAAAGATCTTTCATGTAAAATTGCTGCGAAAGCCATACCTTGACCGAAGTCAACATTCCTACATCATTCCCAATGAGTAGGATATCGTCCACATACAACACCAAAAAGGTGACCTTATCCCCACTAGACTTCCTGTAAACACAGGGCTCATCCGGATTTTGCTCAAAGTCAAACGATTTGACTGCAGAGTCAAAATGGATGTTCCAACTCCTAGAAGCCTSCTTAAGTCCATATATGGATCTATTAAGTTTACATACCATGTGTTCCTGACTAGCAGCAATGAAGCCTTGCGGCTGCTGCATGTAGATATCATCGCTAAGATCTCCATTTAGGAACATGGTTTTGACATTCATTTGTCAAATCTCGTAGTCATGGTATGCTGCTACAACTAGCAGGATCCTAATGGATTTAAGCATGGCCACAGGCAAAAAGGTTTCCTCATAGTCGATGCCTTCTTTCTGAGTATACCCTTTCACTACCAAATGAACTTTGTAGGTCTCAATCTTGCCATCGGGGCCCTTCTTCCTCTTATAGATCCATTTGCAACCAATTGCTTTTACCCCGGAGGGCGGATCTACTAGAGTCCAAACTCCATTGGCCTCCACCGAGTCCATCTCAGCTCTCATGGCCTCCACCCACTTCTGGGAATCTATGTCCACCATAGCTTCCGCGTAAGTCACGGGATCCTCCTCACTAGTCAAGGCTTCCACTAGGTAACTATCCTGGTCATAACCATAACAGACCGGTGGCCTGGATACCCAGGGGGATCTTCTAGGTTGGTCACTACCTGGAACTTGTGGGACATCTCCCACTGATCTTGAGCTCTCATCATCAATAACTATTTCCTGACGATGGGTGTCCAGGATGTAATCAGTCTC